GGGGGGGAGGGCTGGGTTCTATGGTGAAATTGTATACCTTGCTCAGATTCAGCATCCCCAAAACTCTATATGGTGTGACATTTACCAATCATCCAAACAGTTTTTTTGATCTTGGTTTGTCACCAGTAACTTATGTTATTGTGGGCTAGTCATTATCAGTATGTTTATTTTGCCTTTTTGATGACATGGTCATCAATTTGACTCAGATCAGTCTCATAAAAGCTTTTTAAAAGTACTTGTCAAAAGACCAGGATTATTTTTTTCTTAGCTCTCAATGGAAATGCTGGGACAGAAAATTGTTGAATTCTTGGATGAGATACCCATGGTTCCTGCAGCCTGTATCATCTTACTAAGCAGATGCAGGGATTACTCTCAAGAAGGCAAAAAAGATGACATAAAAGCCTTAGTTACAACAGTAAAGGGATGTTTACCTCGCTCATGTGCCCTTGTTGGTAGTGTTGGAGCAGGAATTATTGGAACCACAGAGAATGGTTTTGCTGAAGAGCTGGAAAGTACTGAAGGTGTTGCTTTATTGCTCATGCCGCAAATAGAAGGTGTTTCAGCTGAGGTTATTAATTTGAGTGTTACAGAGGTTAAAAACAACAGAAATTTCAAATCTCGCTGGGAGAAATCTTTGAGACTCCCCTCTGATGGGAAAGTCAAGTGTGCTTTTCTCTTAGCGAAGGGTGACACATATAATCTTGATGTTATAGGAAAAACAGCATCAGGAATTTGGCAGGTAAGTTTTATTTCTTATGGTCTTTTTCTTCATTAGCTTATTATCCACAGGAAAAAAAATTACATACTGTATGTTAAGCACTGGTCTATACTTTTTAAATACAATGTAACAAATATGTGGAACGGACGTATACAAAACATGGACCGGGGTCCATGGACCACCCCTATGGACCTGGTCCATGGACCACCTCTATGGACCCGGTCCATGGACCACCCCTATTTCTTTAAAAGAAGATTGCCACTGTTAATATGAAAATTTACTGGAGGTCAGGGTACGAAAAACACGGACTCGTATTTATCGCACCCCTATAAATGGGAAGACCATAAACTCGTTTTGAGATATAGTTTGTTTCTGGAATAAATAAAGTACGTATGTATCGTAAGTTCAAAAACTGCGTAATTGAAACCGCGTGTGCGAGAATTCCTTGTCATGTTTTCTACCAGTTTAAATTTATTGTCAACACTTTGATAACAACACAAAAATCAGGGTATAAGATTATGTAATCTATTTTACTGGACCTTTTTTCTGTAAAATTCATGATCACAGTACTAAAATTGTAGCACAAACAAGGCGTGAAATAATTTATTTTGGGGTTAATTGAATTAACATTCATGTCTGAAAGTCTGATGCCAAATTAGTTTTTGCAAAATGCATCAACTTTAATACGGAAAGTAAATGATTCTGTGCTCTCTCATTAAAATTACAAGCTATCCATTAAACTTTTTCATCAATATACCTTGATTACAAATTTGTGTTTGTAGGGTAAACTTCGCTTTTAAAATAAATCAGCTTATTTTATGCATGATAAAGTATAATAAGGGTGGTAGGGGTGTCTTCCTGATCGAATTGCAATTTGGAAGGGTTGGAATGAAAATATTGGGGGTAGGAATGCACTCAATCTTCTGTACCTCAAAATGAGTTTATGGTCTTCCCATTTATGGGGGCGTGATAAATACAAGTTCGTGTTTTTCATACCCTGACCTCCTGTAAATTTTCCTATTAAGAGGGGGATCTCCTTTTTAAAAAATTAGGGGTGGTCCATGGACCCCGGTCCATGTTTTGTATACATCCATGTGGAACAGCTTTACAGACAAGAGGCAGTATTCAGCAAGCATGAATTAAATCTCCATCAAACAAATAGGGAGAAACACCTTTTTTGGTGTACAAAATTGCCATCTTTGAAATTCCTTGTCTCATTTATTTGTTGTCTGATCAAGAAGTGATAAGAAATAATAGTTCTGTGTCTTTTTTCTGGTCTCAAGGTTTGTAACAATGAAGAAGATTATAAGTCAGATGTAGTAATAATCGGAGGACTTGTTGAGTCATTTGTGATGGTGGACAATGAAGTGAAGAATGCAGGTGTTGTTGGACTTGCATTTACAGGAAATGTTGAGGCTGTTTCAATGGTTCATCATGGAGAAACTGCAGAAGGTGTTCAGCAAAGCCTGAAGCGGCTGAGGAAGTGTGGCATTGCATGCAACAAAAATACGGCTTGTTTTATGGTGTCATGCATTGGTCGAGGCAAGGATTTTTACCACGCCAAGAATGTTGAGACTGGAATTTTCCAACAAGTATTTCCTGGTATTCCAGTGGTTGGTTTCTTTGGTAATGGAGAACTGGGTCTGGATCTGCATTCACATGAGGGAAAGCTTGAAAGAGATGGCCATTTTCTGCACTCTTATTCATCAGTATTTTGTTTGTGTTCCTTGTCATCACAATCTAATGACAGCTTACCCACTGAAGGCACAGGTATATCTGCAATGAAGGAGCAGGAGAAAGATAAAAGAGACAAGAAGCCATCCAAGTGTGCCTGACTTAAAACATGTGACTTGGTAATCAAAGTACCATAACCATATTTGTTGAATGGCAGATGAACTTATGGATTAGTAGAATAAATTTGTTTTGCTTTATAAATTACCTAACAGAGTACATTTGTATTTTCAGATCTGATTCAATAATTGTATCTAACTTCTTTGATTTTCCGTGTAATATTGTGAAAAAAAATTTGTTTACTGGCTTTGATGAAGTCTGTTTTGAACAGAGGTTGACATTGGAAGTGTCTCCATTGTAAGTTCAAGTTTTTCTTTGATAAATCATAGTTGTCTGAGAAGAGGTCGTCTGATCTTTGGAGGGCCTTTACTTGCACAATGGTAAATTGCATATTTAACAACTATTCACCGAAGTGGAGGTGGTTAGTGGTGGATATTTACCAAGCCGCGAAGCGGCAAGGTAAATATCCACCGCTAACCATCGACATGGAGGTGAAAAGTTGTTTTAGTATATACTAAAACAGTGAGATAATATACACCACCAAAAATTGATTTTATTTCATACATTCCAGCAACGGTTTCAACATTTTCACGTGCGGAAGTGAACAAGTGAGGTTACGCAAGATTAATTTGCATTTGTAAACAAAACCTTTCTCCTTGGTTTTATCGATAAACTCCGGGTTAAAAACTGAAATCATTACCTTTAAACATGGCCAAACCAAATTTAGTTGCTTTCTTTGTGTTTTCAGGGTCTGCTTTGTCGTTAATTTGAGTGATTTCTTTGCTTGTCACGGATGCAAACCGAGACGCCATTTTTTCCCGAGTTGCTCGGAGGTAAATAGCAAAGGATATTTGGAGTTTGACTAGCCAATCAGAGCACGCCCTCAACGCTATCGACTGTTTTAGTATATACTAATAATTGATATCTATTAATTCCAAAAAATGTCTCAGAGTTCAAGTTAAATTACAGTTTATATTTTTGTAGATAATTTCCTATTTAATAATGGTTAGCCAATTAAGGAGAGAAAGATGTTTTTTTCAGGTTTGTGTTTGGATGAATTTTACAAGTGGTAGGGATGACTAGGTAGGCTGGCTGGCTATGATCATGGAAAACGAGTTGTGTTGAGAGAGGGGAATTTTTGAATCAGAGTGTACTTGCTACTCAAATGTGGAACAATGACTGCTTTATCTCTAATACATATTAAAAAGTAGTTTTACCAATCAAGGGCAGCAATCCATAGTACCTTGGTTACAAGAATAACCACACTGAGGTGAGCGATTTCCTATAAGGCTCTTAATTGCGTTTGTCCCAATCATTTAGAGAAGGGAGTAAAGGACTTACATTACCACTGATCATCTTACAAACCACTCCTGAAAAAAATATTTTAAGTGAGTCACTGGTTAATGGGGCATTTATTTTTTGTTTCCAATGCTGTCAGTTGTTACAATCTTTTAATGAAAGATGAAGTGTATAACAAAATTTAAGTGCTGCTTTGAACTTGACAGTTTATATGTAGTCAAAGAGCATATATAATAAGGTAATTTTATTGGAAGGAGATGCAGCAGTAAGTCTCACTTGACGAATCCACCATTGTTAAGGACCAATGGTCAAGAATGTGCTGTATGTGAATGTTTTTTTTTTTTAATATATGATTAGCTGAATTGACAAACATTTTGATTGGTTCTTACTGATGATCCATCTTTTATTAAAGAACAACTGCACTGATGATGTCACCCTTAACAACACTGTGCTTTTTTATCATATGAAAAAGATGTAGATACTTTGTTGCTGTACATCAGGCTCCGGTTGTTCAAAGGGCGGATAGTGCTATCCAATGGATAAATCACTATCCAGCGGATAAGTGTTACCAAAACGTACTACGCCATCCACTGGTTAGGGATTTATCCACTGGACAGCGTTATCCATCCTTCGAACAACTGGGGCCAGTACAATAATAACTGATCACAGAGGACATCAAAATGTGGTAAGAACATCGGCTGCACCTTGTATGACATTTTTTTGTGCCTAACACATTTTGAACTTATCTGTGATCTGTTTCTGTACAGACCACTGGCAACATGGAATCTATTTGTTAAATACAGTTGTATGTGATGGAATTTACACTCTTGTTTGAGAATGCCCTTATTAGATTAGGATGTTTAATTGAGGTTATTTGTCATGCGAGGAAACTTTAGTGATGTTCTAAGTTTTAGATGTAATTAGGTTACAATTTGTTGAGTTAAATGTTAAAATTGACCGAATTTCCTTATTATGATTAGTAATAAATTGTGTTGTAAATATTGTTAACAAAATAAAAGAGATAGTGTAACAAAGACATTCACTTCATTTCCTTTAATTTATAAATTGAGCAATTGCAATCTTTTCAAAATTTGTTGTGAAAATGGGCCTTCATATTATTTCTATTTTTCAATTGTCAACAGACTCCAATTGGAATGGTGGCAAATGAACTGACTTTGAGTGATTTAGCTGGAGGGAGGGGACTACCTGGAGTAGTCAAATCTTGCGTATTTCCTAGTGCCAAGAAAAATGGAGTTGAGGGCAAAACTATTATTGCTTAGCATTTGGTGCAATAAAATTTGACTCTCTCATTCTAGGTTGTGGCCAAAAGGAATTTCTTCATGAAGTTTTTATTTTTAAGAAGAAATACAATGAAAAAAATGTCAGAATTAACATCAACCATGAAATTCAACATTAGATTCTCAGAGCCCAAGTTTTAAATATAGTTTATAGCATACAAAGGGAAGATATTCAATACTGAAAGTGATAGTCATCATTCACAAGGACTTACCTCAAGAAAAAAACTTCAATATAACAAATTCTTCTTTTCTGTTGATAAACTTATAGTGAATGCATGAAAAAAGTTGTAAAAAATAATTGCAAGAGTTGATGTCTAAATGTTACATCATGATGGTATTTTTCCTCTCTCTGATCTAATAATAGTGCCTTATCCTGGTTAAAAAAATTAGAAACAAACAAACAAAAAACAAAAACGGGTATCTTTGGGGAAAACAAACGCCATAATTTTGGCAAAACTGATTCATGTTTTAGCTGCCTCGTTTTTTATTTTCATCTAGATCTGGATGCTGAATCAAGACATTACCATAATGTTAAAACATAAAAGTGATCGCCATGAAAATTGTTGGTGAGATGTGGCAGCTGTAATGTCTCCCTTAATTTCCTTGAAGCGAAAATGAAGAAACACGGATGTGTTAATATGCAAACTTGTCAGAAATCATAAAACCGTCAGACGCGTGAAGGAAAAACGCTACTTGCAGATCATGTGGAACGCACGGGGTGTCACGTGATACCGGCTTTTTCACACCAATCGTGGGCGCGAGTACGCCATGAGCTCATTATTGTTGCTGGGAATGGCGTTGAACTTTGTGGATTTTTACCCTTGTTTTAGTTGAACTTCACACCATAATTTTACGTTTTTAAATTTTTAGTCAAAGTAACAATGGCTGAAGTCTTCCCTTTAGATATAAATGATCAGATAGACGAGGAAGATTTGAGCGAAGATGAATTTGAAGAGGTAGGCTCAATTTGAATGAGTTGAGCTATCGATAGTATTGCGTACAACGAATCATTTTTCCTTAAAGAGGAAGTGATAACTATGAGGATCGAATTTTGACTCTTTGAGGCTTTGTTTGTAGGGGCAAGTAGGCGATGAGCTGATGGAAAATGATGAAAGGTTAGAAATGCCGGGAAGCCGGTATCTGTTTTGAAATTTATACACGATCAGTGAAGCATTTCACCGTCAATGCGTGTGTCACTATCGCTTCGCTTGTGGAAGTTGTCTTAGATCAACCCTTTCTCTTTCGTATAGTATGCATGAAGTGGAAACCTTGGCTATTTCTGAAGAGACTGTTAATCCTAAAGATGAGAAAGTAGGCCCCGAAAGCTTTGAACTTCTCAAAGTTTTGGGAAAAGGAGGTTACGGTAAGGTACGTACGAACAACGCCATCTACATAAAATATAAGCTGATCGATGCTAATAGGTAACTGTGATATAGTCAAGAGTTTTGTAACTGTTGAATTGATCTTGAAAGGTTTGACTTAAGGTTAAATAGAAGAACCAATTGGCTCCGTTTTGTATTTCTGGTTAGGTTTTTCAAGTCAGAAAAGTAGATGGAAGGAACAAGGGGAAAATATTCGCGATGAAGGTGTTGAAAAAGGTTAGAGTTTATGTTGTGATGGTTGCACTAATTTTTGAGTTACATAACAATATAAGGTGTAGAATAAAGGTCAAACTACTAATTTAGATTTTAGCTTTGACCTGGTGTATATTGATCATTTTTTTTTACTATTTCGTCTGTCAAAGTTTTGTGGTTTAAGGGGATATGTTCTGTTAACCCACACTTGGGTATCCTGTACAGGAAATTAAGAAAAGGTGAATTTACAAAATGATATACATCCTCATCATTCCAGATCATTCATTCCCCACCCCCTGTTCCTCTAGTGATTGCCAAGGTTAAGCCCTGGCCTTGTAATATATATAATATTTATTTTCTTAAGAAAAGAACTAGAATTCTTGAAATTTTTGTTTAGGAGGTGGATGTAATTTATTTGCCATTCAGGGGCTGGTTTGATTAGCTGATCTGGTTGACATTACTGGAAAATTCCTCCCAAATTGGTCTCCTAGATTTTAATTGTTTTTGTGAGTGCTGCAGGATAATTTGTGCTGTGAAATATTGTGTATCGATATCTCTGTGTTTAGTTTGTACAAAAGGCGAGTGTAATTTGAACATTACTTTGAGCTTAAAAAAAAAACAAAACAAAACAAAAAATGTGATCTGATGAAAGATGCTGGTATTATGTTTTACCACTAGAGGTGAAAATGAAAGATTGGCTTTTAGTGAGCTTAAAGAACATATTTCCTTTTGCTTGTGCAATCTGCTGCTTGATTATGTAGTTGATCAAAAATGTAGTTCTGTTTGTTAGGAAAAGGAAACTGGTTATTGGTTATGGAGCTGGAAAATTCACTTGACTAGACTTAACAAATTATTGACTTTTAGTAGCATGTAGGAGTTGTTTATTAGGCAGAATTTGTAATGTTGATTATGAAAATATATTGCTTAGAATCAGCAAGGTGTCCTTTCATATACCATACTTATGGTCATAAAATGTGTATGCGCTGATTCATATTTCCCTTCTTTTTACATAATCAAACCAGATTTAGTTTGATTTTTCTTTGTCTTGTTTGATTCATCGTAATTGGAGATAAATAAAGAACAAACTTAGCCAGAAAAAATTGAAACAGAGGATAAATCAATATGTCATAGTACTGTGATAATGTCAGATTTTGCTAAAAAAGTGGATCTTGCTCTGAAGTGTTTGGCCTCAGACATAACAGGTCACAAATACTGCCAAATGTAAGTTGAACTTCATGAGTTATCATTACAATGAGGATACTTTTTTTTTTTGTCCACTAGGCTGCCATCATTAGAAGCCACAAAGATACTGCCCATACCAAAGCAGAAAGAAATATTTTAGAAGCTGTTAAGGTTTGTGTTAATTGTATATACCTTGGACAGGGCACAATTCTGTTTCTGTCAGTTAACTGGGAGTTTGTTTATTTGTTTGTTTATTTTTTAAATGATTTCCAAACCATGTCAGCTTGTGTATAAATGTGTTATATTTGTAAAACGGGGGAATGAAGTAGTATAGAGAAAACTCGCATAACGCACCCTATTTTACATTTCATCCTTATTTTACATGCATAAGGCCTCAATTTCAGAATACAAGGCATTATAGGAACCCTTTAGATTTCTTTTAGATCAGAGCTAAAGGAGGTTTTTAAATGGACATACATGTAGTTGTAAAAATTTTACATCTCTAACTTGGAAGCATGGTTTATTTTTGGTAATCAGGGGTCTTTTAAGAGGGTTGATGTTTGGTATATTTTTTGTTGTTTTTTTAATTACTCTCTTTGTCTTATTTATGAAATTGCAAGAGTTGGATAATAAAACAGTTTTTAAAATTTGAGATGTTTCTGGTTTCAGCATCCTTTCATTGTGGATTTGATATATGCTTTTCAGACCGGAGGAAAACTGTATCTTATTTTGGATTACCTCAGTGGTATGCCTATTTTATTTAATATATGAATGTAGGTGCTGTTTTTGGAAAGGTTTTCAGATGGTTTTTACTTGAAGAGAAGTGTTACATTTTATTTTGTGGACTCTTTTAAATGAATTCAACATTTTTATACGTGGGAATATGAAGGATTTATAACTGTTGCTGTTTGATAGGTGGCGAATTGTTTATGCACTTGGAAAGAGAAGGAATTTTCATGGAAGACACGGCATGGTAAGATCCAAAGAGTAGCTGATTCCTCTTTAACACTGGACTTTGTTGTCACTTTTAGCTTTTACACTAATGATATGTTTGCTCATCATCTTCACAGTTTTTACTTGGCTGAAATAGTGCTGGCCCTAGAACACCTTCATAAGCAAGGAATAATATACAGGTAGGCATTGTTTTCTCAATAAGAAGAGAGAAGGAAGAAAGGGTATCAGTAACTAACTGACAATGCTTATTTTTTATGGGTCTGTGATAAACAGTGCTAGAAATTGTTTGCAGTGTACATTTGGCAGATGGAGCAGTTTTGCACAATATACAGTGTAAATTTTAATAATTCCTTCCAAGGATAAAAGCTGTCCTCATAAATTTAACTCTTATTTCCATCAAGTGAAAACAGTTTTCAGATAAAGTCTGGTTGCATTAAAGTGATTATAATTCTCATAATTTTTTGCAGAGATCTTAAGCCTGAAAACATATTGTTAGATACAAGAGGTGAGTTTAAGATTAAATTGATTGACTGAGTTAATTGAGGTTGTCTCTAAATAAAATTGTTTCCCTTAGAAATGTTTACTTCTCATAGCAGTACTTAGGCTTTCAGTCTTTTCCAAACTACAAAAAAACCTGAAAAAGTTTGCAGCCTCACTCCAAACATAAGGCTTTGTCACTCAATTGCAGATAGTACTCAACTGAATTTTTTGGAGGTGTGGCTTCAAAACCTGAGAAGCCCTTGATACCTAAGGGTGATAAGAATTGTATTTCTCCTAACAATATCACCCCCAAATCACACACACACGCATGTATAAAGGAAATGATCACCAGCTAAAGAAGCTCTTGATTGTTAAACAAATTCTCCTGATCAGCACCTTGGATAATGTATAGAGAACAGTATGGAGAATATGCATATTGATGTTAGGGTTTAAAGGGTGAAAGCCTTAATTTTCTTCAGGCTTGATTTTTTGCAGTTTCTTCGGTTGCAGTTCACCTGTAAGGTTTAATTTGTTATTTTCTTGGCGTTCAGTGTTGGAAAATGTGACCCATATGTGTACCAAAGCTGTCAATCGTCAGAAATCTAGTGAAATTCCCCTAAGTATTGTAGAGTGTTGGGGAATAATGACATTGGTTTGTGATAATTTGTTATCTTAATAGGCCATGTGGTGTTGACTGATTTTGGTTTGTGCAAAGAGGCAATATTTGAAAACAGCTTAACTCACACTTTCTGTGGAACTATTGAATACATGTAGGTATACTTTAACCTTTGTGCAAGTGTTGTTCAAACCCCTGGTGGGTAATATGTGATCATATGATGATGGTTGACCATTTTAATATAGTCTAATTACAGATGCATTTCTACATTTTGTCGGTACAATGAAAGAATAAAATTGTATATAAAATCACGAGAAAAGGAAATCATTGTAGTTGTTACTATATGAATTCAATATTTCTTATAGGGTGGTAACTTGTTGACTTAGAGTAGCATGTGCTTAATAATTTTCAGACCAAAATTTTCTTTGATTTAGGACTGTATTCTGACATACGGAAATTTAATTGGATTAAATCTCTCTGCTTGATACCACTTAAGTAAGGGTTGTTTCCAACCCTTAAAATTCCCATGTTCCTTTCTTTCAACTTCTCAACACTTGGAGGTGAATGGCAAACACTAGCCAGTCAGCATCTGTGAAAAGCTCCATTATTTACCATAATTGCAGGGCACCTGAGATACTTACACGCAGTGGCCATGGCAAAGCAGTGGATTGGTGGAGTCTTGGTGCTCTCATGTATGATATGCTGACAGGAAGTGTATGTAATTTGTTTTATAAATGGTTCATTTTTGTGTAACGAGCAGTCATCTTTGAGAAAATTTTTCTTTTAAATGCAACTTTATCAGCATGTTTCTAATGGCTTCTAAAACAATGTTTTTATTTTATTTCTTTAGCCTCCCTTTTGCGGAGAGAATAGAAAGAAAACAATTGACAAAGTAAGTCTTTCAACTGTGCATGCAAGAGTGTGTCACTCTTGGGGTTTAAAGAATCCCCTCCTGAAATCTGGAGCAAGGATGTTAGTAGAAGTGTTATAATGCAGTGCATTACTCTTCATTTTTATACCACTTGTTACAGCTGCCTCAATCAAGTTTGGCAGACCCCCACTTTAAATTAACCTGAAGTTTTTGCAGTTATGCTTTAGATACAATGGCAGGATTAATCTGAGATACACTGTAAAGACTTAAAAGATATTTAGACTGTGAACAATTTAAGATTTAACATTTTTGCTCTTTTGTTTAGATCTTAAAAGGGAAGCTGGTTCTTCCTCCTTTTCTCAGTTCAGAAGCCAAAGATTTTGTAAGAAAAGTGAGTATTTTACTTTGATACATATTTGATATTTATTTTATTTTTTGGATGTGGTTCAGTGAGAACTCAGTCATGTTACTGATGAGTTGTATTTTGTTTTCAGTTGTTAAAACGTCATCATCAAGCTCGCCTGGGTGGTGGTAAAGATGATGCATCACCAATTAAGGTAATCTTCAGCTGCCTTGTAGACCTGCTCAACATTTGAGACACAGCAAGTTATACTAAGTGGTAGATGCAGCCATTAAGCTTATGAGAATGACAAAGGCTTGAGCTATTCAACAAAAATATAGAACACCTCTTTCTTTTTTTTTTCCCAAAGAAATAGGAACCATAACAATGATAGCACAAGTGTATGAACATGGCAAAGATACTGCACATCTTACTTCCTGAACAGTGCCTTGTGGCTATAGCACCACGATTACTACTATGTATTATTTTCTCCTCAATTATTTCTTGTAACATTCAGTTTCTTTTTTCTCAGACCCACTGTTTCTTCCGTACCATCAATTGGGATGATCTCTACTCCAGAAAAGTAGAGCCCCCATTTAAACCAAATATAGTAAGTATTTTATCTCTTGTTGTTGCAAACAATAATGGAACCTATATAGTGAATTAACACTAGGGATTATTATGTTCAATACTCACCCTATACAATACTAAGTTATTTTCATGTTTTAAAGCTTGAAAAGGTCAGTATGTTTACTTTTGAGTGAAATTTGCTGGCTCTTTTTGATCTTCAGCAGAGAGAGAATAAAAGTTGAAAATTTACTTTCTCAGAAGTGCATGCTATCCTTTATTTAACATTTAACCCTTTGACACCCACGAGTAACTAACATCTAATTTCTCCAAACAGTATCACCCCTGAATTGCTCATTAAGGTAATGAGAATAAAAGAAATGATCACCAACTAAAAAAAAGCTCTTTTTTAAATTCCAGACAGGTGAAGATGATGTCAGTCAGTTTGATAGTAAATTCACAAGGCAAACACCTGTTGATTCACCAGTAGATTCAATGTTGAGTGAGAGTGCAGATAGAATATTTCAGGTATGAAGGTGCTAAATTTCAACTGCTATTGTCTAAATTGTGTAATATGATAATTTTTTAATCAGTCATGCATGCATGTCAGGTTGATGGAGGGGAATGTGTTATGAAACAATTTTTTTACCTCGAAATTACCTATTTAGACAGCAGCCTCATAAACGGCAACAACTAAACAAAAACTCCTGCTCAATGTTGACAAACAAACTTGTTGGAAATTATATTTACATGATTTCAAAGTGCTAATTACTAAATTAAATGCCCCATACACACCAGCAAAACAACCTTAGCTAAACAAGGTTAGCTAAACTAGGTTAACTGACTGGAAATCAGCAACAGAAAGGCATAAAAACTGAACTTTTTGTTGCATTCAAGTAATCACTACTCTGTATTTTCATAGTGTTTAATTTTAAGACAACAAACATCGGTTTCTGCAATCTCTTTGAAAACAACAGTTTTGAACCATGTYGAATAAAACAGCCTTCTCACACACCCCTGGGAGCCATGTCAAGCCAACCACCGCAAGCCTGACCTTTATTCACACAATAACAGCTATCAAATTTTACAAGTATACATGGAGTTTCAAAACATGAACTAGTTAAGAATCGAGACAAAATCTAAAATCGTTTAGAAGTGTAATGAACAACTGAAAAAACTCTTGGGTGGGTGAGTGGGAAGGTCAAGCAATGGCGGTCAACAAAAAACAACTGACCGCCTTACACATCACATGACCTTAACCCATCCCCAGGCCCCAGCGGTGTGTGAGAAAAACATTTTCCACTTATTTCGTTCCACTCAGCCAGTGGAAAATCACCCTTAAGGTGGCGGAAGACAGTTTTTGATACCTTTGATTCTTTTACCATTTTCTCTAAAGCCCTTGATCTCTCATTTGCCAAAACTTGCAGTAAGCAAATTAACAACACAAACTTCATTGTTTTGATAGTTAAGCTGACGTATGTGCTGTTGCCATGGCAACATGAATAGATATGAATAGGAGATTAAAATTGGTTTTGTTACTTTGTAGAAAATCTAGTCATTAGATTTTCTTTAAAATTTGCATGCAACGAGCTTGTAACGATACTCACAAGTTAACACCATTTTGCTAACAATTAAACAGAGAGATCTCTGATTATCCCTTGTTGAAAGTTCACATGATTTTCTAGAATTTCCTTTGTTTAAAATCATTTTTTTCGACACTCCAGTTACTTATTTCCTAAAGTATTTTTGTACCAAATTCTGTGAAATTCTAATGAGCGGTTCTCAAGAAATAGGCATATTTCCTAGAAATCAATTTTCCATTCAATCGCAGTTTTTTTTACTTACTACACATGTGCTGCATTTAACTGGTTTCTTTCGGTAACAATGAAAAAGCTGAGAATTGCTAGGTTCTTTGCACCGTTAACTTTCCTAACATGTCTTTGTAATAAAAGATTAAAGCCCTCAATACACTGCGCCAACTATAGAGAAAAATAGCACAGATAGTGTGGATATGTGTTCAGTAAATAAAATGACCGCTCTGTTGGTGGCATGTTTGTTTTTTGCAATCCTTGTGTGTGCGCTGAATTGCATCAGCAAAAGCGCGTGTGAAAACTGTGTTCAGCCACCTTAACACACGTCCTGTCTTTGGTGTGAATGGGGTTTAAGTTTGTCACTCTAACTTCCTGGTGAAATATGGTTTTCGTTTGCCAAAACTGTGAGGTTTCTCTTATTTCTGTTACATTTTGTGATTTGTGGTGATGGTTAACACACTGGACCTCCAACTGAGAGTATTTGGTTTGTGCTATGGCTGGGTCATTTTGTCATGTTCTTGGGGCAGGAACCTTAACTCTCACATTGCCTTATTCCTCTCAGGAGTATGAATGAGAACTGGACTGTCAGGGAAAACAAGCAAAATGGCAGAGCACCCTATCCAGAAAGTTTAGACATACCCCTTATTACTGAGTGTTAGTGAAACAGGGATTTGATGGACCATTCAGCTTTTAGATTTAATGACATAAATTGATAATAATCATTTGTTTGTTAGGGTTTCACTTATGTGGCTCCTTCAGTTATGGATTCATTGCATAGAGAAATACCAATGTCACCATGGAGATATACAAGGTATTGAAAATGGAGCAGTACCTGGTAACTGTAGTTTGATGTACCATAAAAGCAGTGTTTGAAGTAGCTTGAGTCTTTCCTAAATAATTTAGAGAACAGCCTCCTGACCCTCTATCTTTTTTCTTATTAAGTTAATCTGTTCTCTATTTGGCCTGCAGATCCCCAAGAAGAAGTAACCAACCAATGAGGTGAGCATTTGTGTTGTTTCCTTGGTGTTATTGAGTTATTTTTTTAAGAACATAAAGGATTTACTTCATCAATATTTTGCAGGACTAGCCAATTAGAAGTGGAAATTATCTGACAATGTATTTTTAAGCACTTTCAATTCTTATAATTTTTTCTGTTGTTATCATTATTAACTATCAATTCTGAGATCATACTTTTAATATTTTTTTGATCACAAACTTTTGGTGCAAGAAGGTAGCATCCACTAAAGTGAGACTTCATGGGTTTTCTTGTGTAGATATCTTATGAATATTATCCCTTTATTACCTTTGAAATCTGTGTGGTACAAATTAAACTTGTGTTTATCACCCACGGTGACTGTGGGTAGAACTTAAGTCAATGGATCTGTATGAGTTAGTGTACTTAAATCAGACTTGATCATAACCTTCCATAGTTTTTAGACAGTTCACTGGAAGATTAATGAAATAACCAATATAATTATATCAATGTCAGACAACAGTTTTCAGCCAGCTATAATTAACAGTTATTCACTGATGTGGAGGTGAATAGTAGTGGAAAGTGGCAAGGTAAATATCCACCACTTTCACCGACTTGGAAATTTGTCTTGGTGCTTGACTTTTTCATATCAGCTACTTTGAGGTGAATACTACTTGCTATTCACTTCCAAACTAACCAATCAGCTCATGCAAAAAGCACTATTCACCAGTGTGGTATATACTAATAAACATTTTTTTCCAGAGAATAGCCAGTAATGTCTAGGTTAGTCAGTAAGAACATAGAATTGAGAGTGAGATTTTTCCAAAGAAACCTACTTATAGGTTGCAACAGCAGATGCCTTGTGTTTAGAGCTCTAGAGCATGATGTAGGTTACTTTTGTTTTTTTGGTTTTGTTTTATTTATTTTTGATAAAGTAGTTGAAATCTAATGAGTGTCTCATTGCTTGATTTTCTGCATTGAAAGCAAGACTCATTTTGTTTTGGGTGGACTAATAAGCATCTAAATGGTAGCCTATAGAACCTTTTATTTAGTCACCAGTCTTATCAAAGTTTTGTAACATAACCCCTGTCAGTTCTTCTTCATTACTGAAGTATTTTAAAGGCTAATTATAGTAGGTGTTTCTTGGCAAATCCTTGGTTGTGATTGCAATAAGAAATAACTGCAAAGTAAACTCCAAACTAATGGAAATTCTCTAACTTTCACTAACTTTCGCCTTCTCCCTATTTTCCCGTAGTCCCACCAAGGTTAAGGGAAATGGTTCCAGTCAGTTTGGATTTGAACAATCCTGGCAACCAAACAGAACAGACACTTCACTAGCCAAGTCTGCGGCAATGAAGAATCTTGATTTTAGATCTTCAAACTCTGCTGTTGCAATGGATACTTCCCATGGAAATGATAAGCTTGTTAATGGCACTGATAGTCTGTTACAGTGTGGCAACTCCTTCACTCACACAGTAACTAACTCTCCTCTTCAAATGACGTAACCCTCAGTTTATTGTGGAATCTGTCATCTATTCCTCTTTAATCTTTCTTGTCTTTGTGGAGAATTTTTACCAAAAGGCAAAAATGTGTTGCTAACTTTGTGACAAAAATTTACCTCCAAAAAGTTATTTTGTCTCATTCTACAGTTTAGATCTAGGAAGTGATATCTTAAAAGAAGTGACTGAAAGTTACTTCTGTAGTTCCAATAATTTTGTTTTTTGTCTTCCTTCTCAAATTCAAAAGAGTGGTCCTTTATGGGGGGCTTCAAAAATTTATGGATGGATTTAAAGCAGTCAGGGTGTTGTAACAGAGGCTTGTCCACTTGTAATCCTACAATATGCATTTAGATATCAATAAGAAGTTTCTCTGTAGTACATAATTTCAGGTGCTAGTTTAGTTAAAAGATTGTAAAGTAGATGTAGTAATGCTGAAAAATGTTGATCAAGCGATAATAAATAGCTCTAGATTATTTAAATTTAAGCATATGAGTGACATTTAAAGATAAAATTTTATTGCTCTTGATTTAATTGCTATGCTGATTCTGTTAAAAGAAATTTTTCCCTTTTTCAAATAGGCATCTGGGTTAACTCTAAACAGCTAATTCAAAATTTGTATGATGTCTCCAGTAGAAAAGAGAATATATTTTTACAATGGTATAAATTGCAACAGTAACCATATAGATTTTAAGATGTTTTAGTTTTCGAGAAGTTTGCATGGTTAAAATTCTTATTTATTGCCAAGACTTCATGGTATTGGAGTGGCACATTTCCAAAGCATTGTGCCATAGTTTTCAAGAAATGTACTTTCAAAGTATGTTGACATGTCAAGAGGACAGATTATTATGTTCATTTGTTTGCTACTGACAATAATAGGCGATGGATTTCTAAATATATGAATATCATATCCTTTTGATGAAATAATGTAGAAAACATTTTGATTGGGACAATTTTGCGCAGTGGTAAATCTAGCTGCTAAGACCATTTGCAGGTGGGGGTACTGACATAGCAAAACTAATATTTAAACGTAATTGAAATAATTATAGTAATAACTATTAATATTTATTATTGCTAGTATGCACAGGGTTTTTTTTTTAAGCCAAAATCAGTCAATGCTCTGCATTCAGTCATGTTGACAGCTCTTTATAGGAAATGAGTGAAAGGTGCAATTTTCAGTTGAAACTCAAAAAAAGTTTCACTTCATTTTGCTCTCTATCACATTGCCCAAAATGGTAGAAACCTTGACACACATCAGATCACTTGTTAGTAAAGCATTTTTGCAGTGATGCTGCATTGGTTAAAGAGAATTGTTTTGTCTATTCAACTGTTTTTAGTTTCTCTCCTCTGATTAAATCATACAATGGATTTTCAAAATTTTTAAGTGAAGAGGAAAGTTCTGAGATATGTCAAAAATGAGATATAGGTGTGTTTTACTCACTTTATGCAAAACTATTAGTTCATCACTGACATATTATAATTGTGGTAGGATCAGACTTAAACTTCGGAATCAAATTATGGATAGAAATTCTGTAATTTGATTTGGCGTGTAGTTTATGAATGATATATTTTCTCACGTAGTTAGGTAAATGTAGTTGGAAAAAAAAGTTGAGAGAACCCAAACAATGATTACCAGCTATTTTAAGATTTTTGTTGCATGAAGGTCTTAAGTTTAAAAAATTTAATGTGTTTTGAAAGAAAAATATTAAATACTGCCTGCTGGACAGACACAGCTTTCAAATTTGCATATTTTCTCACCTTGCTTGCAAAGAAAAATTATTATTGGCAGATATGGTGTCCATATTTCAGATAAATTAAACATGGGTGATCCACCCTTTTGCACTAGAATTTTTTTTACCTGCGTACAAATGTGACTTAATTATTGTCACTGCAACCTACATTTTCTATTTATTGACTTTCATTTTTTAAAGAAAAATGGCAGATCTCCAGTTTATGCTGTAAAAGGAGCTTTAAATCGTGAGTGCAAAAAATCTAATTTAAGGTACAAAAGGTTCCTTGAACTTTCCAGCAGCCAGTTTACTCAGTTGTGTAATATTCAATGGAGTGCATGTGTCATATTTATCTTAACTCAGTAGGTTCTATTTATTAATAAGCTCAACCAGAACGCACACTAGCAGGGGATCATGGGAATTAATTATCAGTTTTCTAAAATTGCCAGGGTATCTCACTTCTTTTACCATGATTCCATGGTTTGTGTTTAAATACAGACAGGGAAGAATTGTGCTTTTAGGCATGGTTAATCCTTTCTAAAAATATATTAGAAAGAATATGACTGTTAGATGCTTCTTACAAACTTTTGCTGTAATAAAATTGGCTTGATGTGCTAAATGGATATATTGTCTCAGCCATGTCTTTCAGTGTTGGTTTTATCCGAAAACTTCATTGTGTTAAATGATTTAGTAAGGGACTAA